TACTCAGTTGCTGTGAGCACACCATTTCATGAGTCTTTAATTTATTAAATTCCTGAGGTGGGATTAAAATATTTGCCACATCACTTACTTAAAGAAATGTGTTGTTCACATAGCGTGACTATATGTATGTTGGTAATTGGTACACAGAGAACCTGTGCACATTAGCCAGCCGCAATAAGTGGCAGATGTATTTGCAGAGTTAAAATGCTTCGGAAAATGTTTAGTGTTTTCCAGTGTTTGGCACATTCAGGGACCAGAAGATGAATTCGTGGACCTTTAACTGTGTTACACCCAGTCTAAAGCACTGCCTGCCAAAGCCTTCTCCTCAAGTCTCAGCCGTATTGATTCCCGATGGATCTACTCTGAGATAGAAACACCCCTTTTCTATCTTTTATTTTATGACCAGAGTGGGAAACTCAGTAACAACAGCAACAAAACCAGAGAACAATTTTAAAAGCTCATGAATTATTCTGCTAGATAACTGGGGTAAGCAAAAGTTCATGTACCTTCAACTCCATGTTATAAATCAGATTTATAAAAGTATGAGCTAAATTGAAAGCCTGATATTAAAAAATAATTATACTTTTGGATGACATCAGAGTTGTTGGATTTTTTCCCTTTTCCTTTTGTCCTTTAATTTATGAAGCACTGACATCCTAGATACAAGATGTTCTGAAAAATCATGAACACTAGCAACTTTTTCAAGATTTACATCTGGGTCCTATGAGCAGTAAAAGTGGGTGGGGGCTCATTTTCCTGTGCCTTTTTGGAACTCCTGTTCAACACATGGTATTTGTGCTATGGTAGTTGTGCACAGATATATCTTGCGCCCCATGCCTTTAACATTTACATGAAGCTGCTAAGAGATGTCATTCAAGGATGTGGGGCGAAATATCATCAGGATGCTGACAACACCCACATCTATCTCTCTTCTAGGATTCGGGTGAGGCAGAGGAAGTGCTGACCTGGTCAGCGCCTGGAATTGGCAATGAGCTGGGTTACCAAAGGTTGCACCACTGTGGCCAAGCTATCCTTGTTCAGAAACGTACACATCTGGCATACAAGCCAAAGCTTGGAAACAGCACTGCCTTCAGTGAGTGATGCAGCTAAGAGTCCTCCCAAGCTACAAAGACCAAACCAGGGGTATGCTGTGCTCTATACACTGAGCAGTTGGACAGTAAGGAGAGTAGCACACCAACATCATCCCCATTCAATGTCCCAGCAACATATGCAGGTCCTTCCAGGCCCATCCCCAAGACAAAGGTGCTTCCAGGTGAGTAAGATTGTCATCCCATGAACCACCATCCCTTGCCCTGTGTCCCCAGCCCACGTCGATGCTGCAAGGAGTACTCTGAGGAGCAAATCTAGGTCAGACCTACTCTGCCCAGCCTGCCTTTTCCTCGAGCAGGGCAAGATCAATGATAGCATCAATTAGCAAAATGAAGAATCAGAGTCACTCATAAGCATGAGAGCACCAAAGAGCGTCACATGGGTAGCACTTCATCAAGCACCCAGAAGCCCCATCTCTTACTTAAGGTAGTGTGGGCATTTGTGTACTGTATTTTACACACACACACATTTAACATGTTATTTTTGTATTTTATCGTGTTTTTGTTAACTTACCCTCGAAACTCCACTGAAGGTCTGCATATAAATCTTGAATATGAATACTCACACTGCACATACCCTGCTTAAACAGCCTAATGTTATCAAGGCAGGTTACAGTGTAAAACAAAAAAATGTACCATCATTCCATACTCTGACACAACTCATAAATCTAATTTAACAAAGCAGAGAGCATTAATTGGGAGCCCTTACTTTTAGCTGAAAACAAGGAAACTTTTAATTTCTTCCTAGCAACTTACAATTCCTTTTCTGCTTACGATGAGTCTGTTTCCTTTTTAGCTACTGTGAAACATAGAACTGCTTTTCAGAGTCTAAACCAAGCTTAACTGAGACCAACATCCCTTTTGCATTGTTTTCTGTCTGTGCCTTCCCAAATCCACCCACCTCCCCATCTGTCATTGAGCTATGGCTTTCAGCGTACTACTGTCAGTCTAATTTAGATTGAAAGCATCTCACAGTGGGGCTTCTTCCCCCATACATTTTAACTTCCCTCCTTGGTTGCCAAGCACAATAAAAGGTGCAATAGAAGTAATAGATAAAATAATCACGAGGAGGAAGTGGCAACAGCATGCTTGGTGAAAAGGATGCAGTAGCCAGGTGGGAAATTATATAATAATTACAGGAAAGCTTCCCCATCTGTAATGACTGAGCATTTCACATTGTCTCGTTTCCTAGCAACGGAAGAAGATGCAGAATGCTGGTGGGGTCGACTAGCATTATGAATGGGTGAAACATACCTGGGTGGCGTGGGCACGAAACCATCCCCATTGTGTCTGGCCCAAATGTTAGGTCTGTCACAAAGCTAACCATGCCATCTGATCAGAGGACAACAGGTAATCCTGTTCTTGGTTAGAACCATTAATAATAATAAGAAGAATTTTATTATTACCCTGCACATTTGGCTGGGTTTCCAGTGACTTTTCCATTAAAGTCATTGACCTTCATCTTCATTTTTGGAGTCCAGTCCTACGCTTGTTTACTCAGAAGCAAGCCCACAGAGTTCAACAAGTTTTACAAGTACGTGTGCATAGAGACTGAAAAGAAACTTGCAGCCTGAAGGACTTGGTCTCTATATTATGTGATGTGCATAAAAGCAGCCCATAGTGCTTAAGTGAAATGTGCAGACCTCCCTCCGTATTTTATGAAGACCAAATGCAATTAAAGTTGCCACTTTTATTTCTGGCAAGGCTCCTGTACCTTTAACAGCTGCATGGCAAGTATAAATTCAGCAGCCAACGCTTTTCCCATGACTGCATCTCCAAGTCAGGAAAAGCTTCATTCAGCTGCTGAATCTCTGATGGTTATGCAGCTGTTAAATGGCACAGGAACCCTGCCAGAATTCTTTTTTTAAAAAAAACAGAAAGAAAGAAAAATTGCAATCCTAAACACCACAGTGATGAAGTCAATAGCAGTACAGGCTCACACTCCCATCTAATCATGCTTCCTGTCTGATGCTCCAGATAGGGCAGTCTTCCCATGACACACAAGGGTCTAATTAGACAACATTTCCAAATAGAGTTTGCTGTTCTCTTTTGGCAAAGAGCCTGTGCCTTTAACCTCTTACAACAGGCAGAAATTAACAGAAGCACTTTCCCAGTACAAGCACTTCATCTTCCTGCTAAGAAAGGCTGGATTTCTACCTGTCAACATGCGGCTGACAGGGCAGGGAAAGGAAACAATTTCATAATCAACTAGCAATCTAAAGCCAGCCTTACCACTAGGCAGAAGGAGGAAGTACAGTGGTACCTTGGTTCTCAAACTTAATCCATTCTGGAAGTGTGTTAGACTCCCGAAACAGTTCGAAAACAAAAGGCGTGGCTTCTGATTGGCTGCAGGAGCTTCCTGCACTCAGCTGGAAGCCACAGAAGCTGCGTCTGATGTTTGGCTTCCGAAAAACGTTCGCAAACACTCACTTCTAGGTTTGCAGTGTTCGGGAGCCAAGCCGTTCGGGAGCCAAGCTGTTCAAGAACCAAGGTATCACTGTAGATGCTGAGGGAATCAGCACCCAGGCCAATAAGCTTGCTTGCTGGCCTTGGCTGTCTGGTTGTCCCTCCAGTCCTGACTGTCTTCTTCCAACACGTCACTTATGGTGCCACTGGGAAAGGCCCCTGACTCACCGAACAGGCAAAGAGGCCTGTCTGGGCCTTACACTCCAGCAGCCATCTTGTTTGTGAATGTGTTGATCTGCTCACCCAATGCATGCTGGTGCTGCCACCACTACACAGTGGTGTTTGTTTAAGCAGATACTGAGCAGGCACCAAGTGGAGCAGTGACAAGATGATAAAGGACAGAGCTCTTTGTGTGTCACACAACCCCTAAATTAGCCTGCTGCCCTCAGGTGTGGTGAAGGGTGCTGCCCCAATGCTGATGCAGCTGCCAGTATGGCCGGATGCCTTCTGCATGTCGTCAAAAGTAGCAAAATGCCTTGGTTCAGCCCTGGTTAAGACATCAAAGTACCCTTAAGTGAGGCAACCACTATTGAACATGGGTGCTTCTACTGAATATCAAAGGCTGCTTCTGAACTTCTTGACCAGGCAGAATAAGAAATCAAAATCAAAAGAGCCTGGTGGAAATATTTCATACCTTCTCTTCATCTAAAGATTCCAGGATAGTGTGCAAAAGTGTGAATAAAGTTAGTCACAACACCATATAAAAACCATGTACACCAACAAGCAAACACCAACAACAAACATAAAACACACGTCAAGATAAGAGACAGACTAAAAAAAGATTTAAAACTAAATAGTAAGGTGATTCCAACTGCACAAATAATCTAAAATGTCTGGCTCTTCACCTGGCTCTGTAATGTTGGTGCTACATATGTCTCTCTAGTGAGGACATTGCAAAGTTGGGTATACCACCATAGAAAAGTCCCTTTCCTTTTTGAATGCATGACATACCTTTGCTAAAGGACTTGGGGAAGGAACTTGACTCTACAGCAATTCTTAATACATGGGCAGACCTTGAACATTTACACCAAAGGATGCTAATTATCTCACCAAGCACATAATCCACATCATTTTCTAGGTCTCCCCCATTGTTTCCTGTTAGGGAAATGAAACTTGTTAATAAAAACTATGATTACATATCCAGAATTGCTGAATTCTAGTTGTCCATTTATTTAAAATTGCTTAATTGCTCCTCCATAGCCACAACTGTATTTGACCCAATGGGGCTCACCCAGGAGAACTTATTGTGTCCCCAATGTCATTGACAAGAGAACAATGGTGCAATCTTCTCCTTGTGGCATTTGGGCCATCCAGAATTGAAAGGGAGCGCTGATACTCTCTGCCACAGTTCCACCATTCAGCAGCAAGTGTCTACCGACACACCTCTTTCCACCGCGCAGCTCCTGATACAGAAGCTAATTCACATTTCCAGTAAAAGACTTGTGTTTATTTAAATAAAATAACACAGTAATTGTCACTGCAGTTGAAAGAACTAAAGTTAGAAACACATTCCTCTGATTACTGCACTTCCTGGCACCTGCCTCTCACAGAGATTTGTTCTGGCACAGAGGAATGAAAACAAAGCAAAACACAAAACTGACTTGATAAATGAGAGGGATATAAAAGGAGGGGGAGGTGATTTGTGACTCTCACCAAAGATACAGAGAGAAGAGAAGAAGGCGGTTGTTGTTTCAGGTGTCCTCCTGGGAAACTGTTTTCTTAGAAACAGGAAAGACCTCATGCTCCTCAGATGCCTTTGGATGTCAACAGGGAGGGGGGAAACCAGCATACCATCTTCGCCTCCTATCCCCATCCTATTGTATTTCTTGAAGTCACTGCAGTTCAAGGGAGAACAGATCTATGGAGAGAGGGAGGGGGAGAGGTAATCATCCCACTTCTAGAGGTTAAAAGAATTTTCTCTGTTGTTTATGTTCTTCCAGCTACTGAAAAGCTGGAGTTGCCACTACAGTGGTACCTCGGGTTAAGAACTTCTGGAGGTCTGTTCTTAACCTGAAACTGTTCTGGAGGTCTGTTCTTAACCTGAAACTGTTCTTAATCTGAAGCACCACTTTAGCTAATGGGGCCTCCCACTGCCGCCGCGCCGCCGGAGCACAATTTCTGTTCTCATCCTGAAGCAAAGTTCTTAACCCGAAGCACTATTTCTGGGTTAGCGGAGTCTGTAACCTGAAGCATATGTAACCTGAAGCGTATGCAACCCGAGGTACCACTGTATTCCTATGCAGATTTGCTAGGGTTGATCACTTACACAACACACACACACACACACACAGAGAGAGAGAGAGAGAGAACCTGGATCTGCATAAAATTTGCATAGGCCAATTTATGGCTTGGATCCAATTCACTGGCACTCTAGCAGAAGCCAGCATAAGAGCTTTCCCCTCTGGTAAGCAGAAATGCTTGTGCTGATGGGATGATCAGAAGAGCATGTCGTTGAATTCTTCCCTGTATAGATGGAAATTTAGAAATAGTCACTACTGAAATAGTAATGCAGCACATCTCACCATGGTAGGGAGACTGTGGACTCAGCTACACTGGCAAAGAAAAAGCGCTTTGTCTATGCGTGGTTTGTGCATTCTAATACTGTGACACCAGATGGCGCTGTGGAGTTCCGTTTTTGTTAACCCGATTTCTCATACAAAGTTTAAAACAAGTTTAACTAAAACGCTTCTTTGAGGTGTCTAGATCCAACCTGTGACTAGGTAGACTGTGTGTGCCTGCTCAGTCCACTGTCCACTGTTGCAAACCACTTTGAAGGCGTCAAATGGAAAGCAGGTTTTAAACATTCATAAACAAGTAAAATAATTAGGAATGTAAACTTTCATGAATTACTTGTACATCCCATTTTTATCCAGGTTTACTCAGAACTGTCCACTTAATTTCAATAGGACCTATTCTAGAGCAAGTGTGCTTAAAGGTAAAGGGTAAAGGGACCGCTGACCATTAGGTCCAGTCGCGGACGACTCTGGGGTTGCAGCGCTCATCTCGCTTTTATTGCCCGAGGGAGCCAGCATATAGCTTCCGGGTCACGTGGCCAGCATGACTAAGCCGCTTCTGACGAACCAGAGCAGCACATGGAAACGCCGTTTACCCGCCGGAGCGGTACCTATTTATCTACTTGCACTTTTGGGTGTGCTTTCGAACTGCTAGGTTGGCAGGAGCAGGGACCGAGCAACGGGAGCTCACCCCATCGCGGGGATTCGAACCGCCGACCTTCTGATCGGCAAGCCCTAGGGCTCAGTGGTTTTGACCACAGCGCCACCTGTGTCCATATTAAATTTCTCAGCAAAATTTCAAGGCCCTCATTTTGGCAAAGCTATCAGCATATGTCTCTGTTCCACATCTACAAAAATAATTGTTGGTGCTTTTCAATGCATTTTTTAATTCAATCAAAAGTGACAAACTTCTTGAAACAAGCCAGCAGTTTTTTAAAAGTCTCTTCCCACTCTATAATTCTATTATCTGTCAAAACTCTTATCATTTGTCTGGTTTTCCTTCCATTTCCTTTCCTTTTGGAAAACAAAAATGTCACTCTGCTCCTACAAGCCAAAAATCCGGCCTCCCTACCCTTGCCTTCAGCACTCTTCTGATTGTGATGCAAAAATTCCAGTCAGGTCCACCTCAGTTCATTTTGCTTAGGGAAAAAATTCCTCTCTCCCACATCTATGTGCAGGACTTGATTCCTTGATGCAGGTTCCGGGAGAAACAACTTCAGCCCAGATAGGACATTCCTGGACCAGGACTATGAACCTTTTGTGCACTTGTTGTTTCAGGTGTCCAGTATCACTGGCCCCATTCGGGACAGGAAGTGTCCCATGTCACACTGTTTTGTCCTCTTGTAGCCTGATATCAAAGGATCAGCTAGCCAGTTCCTGTGATCAGTAGATGGGGGTTTGGTTACTCTCCCATCTCATCCCACCCCCCACCCCCGGCTGTTAGGACTGCGAATGTGCCTGGCTGCCAAACATGGAACAAGACAAGGCTTTATTTAAGAGCCTTCCTTCATTTTCTCGAGAGAGGGGGGCAGGAATACAAATCTTTCCATTAAAACTCTAAGCCCAGCTTTGAAGCCCATCCAATGAAGGAATGATAAGACTGTACAGTGTAAGGAATGCACAATTCATACTTTCTTCCTTAAATCGACGTCAGTAACACCAGTGCACATGCATAATTTAATTTTCTTCATTCTATGCTCTCCAGAGGCATGCAAGCTCACTGCACCCCATCCCTTTAAAATCTCCTGGTACATTTTCATTGTGGCCAAGAAGCAGATGTCTGAATAATAATAATAATAATAATAATAATAATAATAATAATAACAACAACAAATTGAACAAAACAGCACATCACTGGTGTTCACTAAAAGCTAAAGGCATACTGGAAAGGTTTTCTATCCCCTGCCCAGTATGAAAAGCCACTTGGAACAAGGAGAGTCTAAGCCAGCAGAGCCCACAGTAGAGAAGTAGAACTATCCTCCATGAACCTTCAAGACAGGGCCTTGGAAAAAGCCAGAAGATTGCCTTGCCAGGTTCCCAGCAGGATGGGAGCTCAACATCATCCCCAGTCTGTCTCCTTCATGGATTGGTGGAGAGGAATTGGGAAGTTCCTACCTAGCAGGTTCTTGCACTCTGGCTCTTGTGCATTCACTACAAGCTCCCCATTCAATCCACGTAAGAGTAGGGCTCCCAAAACACTGTAGCTCAGAGTCATGACGACATGTACGTTTTACACCACCGAATCTACCAATGGGTAGTCCACTTTTCAAAAATAATAACAATGGAAGAAATCCAGTGGCAAAACTTCCAAAATCTCACTGCTTCACCAGTGAAATGTGCAAAGGTAAATAAGGCTCCCACCAACATTTTAAAAAAGCTACTGATGACAAGAATGAGGCTCCCCCCTCCCCGACTGCGCACATTGTGCTCTCCCTGTTTCTCCCCAAATTGGCTCTGGGTGGCATCAGGAACAGTACATGGGGGGGGGGAGAGGGGGGGAGCTTTCCGTTAGGCAAGGTGATAAGCTTGCCCAGATTGAACATTTGTCACAGCATAACACTCAAGTTATTTTACAAAATAATAACCTGTCTCAGAGCCACTTCCATCATTATGATTTTCTACCAAAATATCAATCTCCACGTAGAAGGGGGGGGGATGTGCTCTGAAATCTCTTGAACTGCAGCCTGAATGTTTTTATCATTATTCTTATTTGCAAGCATAATGACTGGGAAGTAGACACAGGGAAAGGCAAAGAACACATTTTTTTTTCCTGCATGGGGAGATGATCCCCATTGAGGAAATTGTCATCTTGGTCATGGCCTCCACTGGTATGAAGGCCAGAATTGCCCGAGGAAATTAGTCTAGCAAGTTTAGCATTCAGTGGAGGAACTAGATGCAGGCGCTTCACAGAGCAGAGAGAGTCAGCCTCAAGAATGTGCTGATGCAATTAGGTCAAGTCAGTGACTGTGGCCCATTTTAAAAATAGGCCACTCTTGTCTTTTAAAAAAAACAATCTTCCATTTTTTTCGTTGTACAGTGGCGCTCAAAAAGAACAGGAAGCCATACTGCAGGGTTGTCGTCACCAGCAGAATCCTCATGCTCATTTTTGGGGTCTCACCACCAGCTCTGGCCAAACCAGTTTCACAAGAGTTCATAATGCTCTAAGTCAAGGACAGGGGACATTTTGCAGGATGAGGTCCCCAGTCCCTCATCCAACGGAGCTATATAAAAAAGGGGGCGAGGCCACTCACGCTGTCATACACACATATGTCTCCGTTCATACATGTGTGTGTACACACAAACACAAAGCTATCGGATTTGAAAAATAATAACTGGAGCTTCTCTCAGATTTAATTGCAGGCCTAGGCAGGGTGGCGGTTGATCTTCATGGAGATTGCAGTGAATGGCAGGATTAATTCTTCCCTCCTGAGCTGTAGTCTTCACAAAGATCACTGAGATTTCCTGATCAGGCATTTTGGACTCGGCTGGCCTTTAGTGTGGCAGACCTTGCCCTGTGGAACTCCTTGCCAAGAAACAAAAACTCCATGCAGCAAGAAACAAAAGCAGGCTTCCCTCAAAATGAGCTAAAGGAAAGAAATGCTTATTACTGAAGAAATAAATATCAATAATGGTCCTCTAGTAGAAACTAAGGCAAGGCCAAAAACATCACGAAACTCTGATTCCGGAAAGAATGTCACTTCACTCATGCTTTGGCAAAACAACTATGTCCATCTTTAAAATTAATAGTTTGAATTCCCTCTTTTTTTAAAAAAAAAATTAATAAATAAATCTGACAAACCCTATATTGAACAGAATGTACCAACAAGAGTCGATGTTCAACACACACAGCAAGCGAAAGGGTAATCCAATTCTACATAGCTGAAAATAGTACCAGGAACTTTATAATTATAGGATGGATTTCCTTGGTTGCAAGCCCGGCAAAAGTTTTCAGTGCTGGTCCAGCTGCTACTTTTCCACCATGGTTTCTCACAGCACTAATCCAGCCAGCCTCAAACTACTGCAAACTCCCCTGCCTGTGTCTACAGATGCAAGGCCTGAGACGTTTCCCTTTGAGTTGCCAGTTTGTCACTAGCCCAGTGCCCTTCATCCAGTCTTCGGCCCGTTTTTCTTTGCTAGTGAGAAAAACGGCACCAGCTCAAACTGCCTGGATCAAACTCCGACATTTGGTAAGGCTGAATTTATTGGAAGCCTCTTGCCCCAGCATACTGCTGAGCACACAGCATGAACAGGGAAAAACCACATGGTGGACAGGAAAGCAAAGCAAGTTGCTCTTTGGAATTTAAAGCCCACTTAAATTCCTGATTCCTGCCCCCCCCCCGCCCTT